TGCATAATTGCGCATGGAATACCTACTATCAATGACACATTCATAGTAATAAATGATAATGTAGTGATTGCGCAGGCGAGCTGGTGGATGTTAACCATTTTGTTCTTAGCACGAGACTGAGGCAGGAAAAGAGGAAAGTTTCAAAGTAGAATAAAAATGAACAGTCGAGGACGTGTCCTCGACTGTTCATTTTTCTTCTACTTTGAAACTTTCCTCTTTTCCTGCCTCAGTCTCGTGCTAAGAACAAAATGGTTAACATTCATAGTGTCACTAAATCTTAGTTCTGTGGAGATGCCAAAACGGTATTCGGTCATATATTCCGAAACCGTTCGTGAAATCAAAAACAGAATTAAAAATAAAAAAAAAAAAAAAATTATGGCAGCGCTACTCTTCCTAGGCCCCATCGTTCGCAAGGCATCCGTTCTAAAGTTCCGGGAAGCTTGCTCGTGGGCAAAACGATCTTGTTGCTTTCAAGGTTGGAGGTTTCGCGCGCAGAAAGTGATGTCAGGCGATAACAGGCCGGAAATTGATTGTAGAGGTGAGCTCTTATTTCGTTCATCTCTAGGTTGACAATGCGGTGAAGCTAAGCGTTAGCCAACCATTCAGTGGCCTGACTCCTATCGCTTGATTTCGCTCGCCTCGCGTGTGTATGCGGAGAAGGGGTGATCACGTGGTGCGAGACTGGCAGTCAAACGGTCTAACAAGCATGTAGTTTCCACCGCGCTGTCAGCTTACGGGGGATAAAGTCCCCGATCCATGACTAAAGGCTTTGTGTGGCAACTGAGGACAGCGTGTGCGTCCGAAGGCGGTAATCCAGGGAATCCGGACTCAACGGGCGCCTCGCTCGTTCCTTGCGCACCTTGCACCCAGCTTGCACTAATGCTCCATACAAAAAAAAAAAAATAAGAAAAAAATATTAACGAACTTTAGTGTCCGCAGCATGCCCATTCCACACCATCTTTTTTGTGTTTATTTATTTGTTTTTTCGAAGTTTTTTTTTAAAGTTTTTTCGTGAAACTATTTGCGTCGTAAAAGAGCTGGTTGGTCGGTGCTGGTTTGTTGTCGATTCGGTAACTAACAAACACAGGAGACCAAATTATAGTTCACAATCTTTCCACATCATGGCTTTCAGCTGGCTGGATTGGTACCAAGACGAAGCTTATAAGTAAATTTGGCCGTCTCTAAAAGACAGATTTATTTATCTTCTAAATTCCTCTAAATTTATTTACTCTCTAATTTCCTCTGGGTCCTCTAAATTTCCGCTTGCGACACTTCCCTCACTTCCGAAGCTCTTCGATGGTGAAATATTTTTTGTAAATCGGATTTCTTTAGCTTACGGATGCGGCAGGCTATGCTTCTCGGGACGCGCTGACGCACGTCTTCTGTACAGCCCATTTAGGGCCTTCGGATTGCACTCCAATGCGTGCTTAGAGTGCCACCGGACGTGGGCACTTGAACGCTTGGCAAGAGTACCACGGCACTCTAGACGCAGGCTTTTTCAAAGGCCATGCTAGATGGAGGAAGCTACCGCTAGTTACAGAACATACAGACAATTTCGCTCATTCATTTCAACTGAGCTTCTGTCGTCCGTGTTTCGTACCTCGGGAACACTGAACATAAGAAGCTTAGCATACTTTTTAACGTATCGTAGGGCGACATAGAGCAGTCTACGTTCTTCCCAAAAATAATTGAGCTATCGCTTGCTGTGTAGAATCAACTGAACGTAAGGTGAACCCGTCAATGGCAGTTTAAATGTGGCTCTGTTGGACAGCGAAATAAGACTTCTGTAATACACACTAATGTATCTATATTTAAAGCCAGTGAGATCCGTACCACAAATATCGATATCTGGAATGCTACACGGTGCTTCCGCTATACATTAGGAACTGTTTGATGAACAGCGGAAAAGAGCAGCGATCTTGAATGTTCCCTTTTATCGAAAATTTTCCTGTCAAGGGAGCTTCGGAGAGCGAGGTTAAAACAGTTAAAGGATGTAGCAAACTGTGCAGACTTAAAGGTTTAACCCCCCAGAGCTTTTCTTGAACAGAGCAGAAGACTGATCGACTGCCGCGCTTCGGAAAATAAGATGTAAAGATTGAAAAAAGGTAGTAGTCAAGCCAGGTTTATTTAATGACTCAAAAAAAGACCGCATAACAAGTTTGGAAATCATCGCTAACAACTTTTCCAAACGCTCTGGCTCCGTCGTTTATTTTCTCCACGGCGGTGAAAATAAGGGAGCCCCTAGTGTCACGTACCATAAACCTGGCTTGCCGCCATGTATAGGTTTTTTGAACCTATACATGGCTTCGAAACGAACGCCGTGTTTAGGGCGACGCTTTATGAAATGGTCGTCACGTGGCGTATGCAATAGACCGCGCGAAGCCGACCTCTTCTGTCACGGAGGGAGGTTTTCCTCTTTGCTTGCTTTTAATGCGAATGTGGAAAAAATACTTTTTTTATACATATACCTGTTCCTACGATCAGTGAGGTCGGGCTCAGCAGTAACTTGAAACGACCCCCCAAAAATATAACAATGCCCCAAAAACATCTCTGGGCTACATAACAACCCTAGGCACTTATGTAACGAAACATAATCGCACACGCGCGTCAGCATCGGCTCATACACCCGTTTACACACTGATCTATATGTTTATTGTTTAATATATCTGTCTAGCAAAAACATTAATTGCCTATTGCTTGGATAAAGGAGTGTCCCCCGCTCCAATGATCTTCCTGCCGCAGGTAATAATTAAGTTAATAAATACTGAAATATAAACCCGTTAAGGCAGGCTGTACCAACGCATTTATTAAAACATCCTTGCCCCATCTCCCCCCCCCCCAAAAAAAAAAGAAAGAATAAAAAAAAAGAAAAGCGGATAGGAAAAAAAGGTTTCCCCGAGAAAACGAAAAAAATACCTGCGCCGAACAGCGTCGAACTTGCGCCGAACCCATAGCGGCGCCATCTATCGACAGCCCGTGATATCGCGAGGAGAAACTAACTCTCGTTACAGTTACTCTCGAGGTCGAGGGAGGGTTAAGGTAGAGTATCATCGAAAGAAGCGGTCGGGAAAGAGTAACTTCCATGCAGATAGAGTTAAAGGAGAGTAAGTTAGGGCACTTACTCTCCCTTGACACCTTTTTTTTTAGAGTGTAACGGGCACTGTAGCACCTGCGCCGCCTCGTACACCACTCGCATCGTGTGCAGATTGGTGCTGATGGTTCTGCCCTTGACTCCGTAGGTCTGATGTTCTCCGATGACGTCTCGGAGTCCTCATTCCAGACGTTTTGCTATGATTTTAGCTAGGATCTTATAGTCACTGGTCAGTAGACTTATTGGACGGAAGTTACCAACTTCTGGAGTTCCTTGTGCCTTCTTCTTGGGAGTCAGGACAGTGACAGCATTACGCATGGAGGGTAGCAGAAGTCCTCGCCTGAGTATATCTGAAAAAACTTCTCGAAGGATCGGGCTCAGCAGTTCTACGTATGCCTCGTAGAAGGAGCTACCAAGTCCATCGATTCCCGGAGACTTGCACTGGGTTAGATCCTTAATGGCCTTCTTTACTTCCGAGATCGTTATCTTCCGGTTCATTTGTTTTCTGACGGCTGCAGAGATCATTGGGAGCGCTCCTTCGGACCTTGGGTGTACCTGATTTTCCTCCACCCCTGTAAAAGATTGGTTTATGCGTGCAAAAATGCGTCTTCTATTTCGTTTTGTCGTGTTAGCTCATTCTCGCCAACCTGTAGCATTTCGACCCTGTTGCGAGTAGCATCCAACCGCTCCTTCGTCTTGAATATCTTTTTGCGGCTCTTCGCCCTTTTCCGAGAACAACGTTCTGTTGTGGATCATGATTCCACGGTACTCCTCCTCTAAGAGCTCAAGAATACGGCCTTCGCACTCCCGGATATCTTGCGTAAAAACTCCAGGTGTTCAATTTTCTTCCACTATCAGGGTTCGCAGCGTCTGTGTCAGGAAGCGCTTCTCCGCCTTCGCCCGCGTTGCCCTCGCTTGACTGTACCTGAAGGCTGCAAGCTTTATCTCTTCTTTAAGCTCCTCCCAGATCACTGCATCCATGACCTTACCTTTGCTTCTGCTCTCGATCAGCTCCTTAATCTGAACGCGCAGTGGTTTGTCCTCGAGCAGACTTTCGTTCAGCTTCCAGCCGCTCCACCATGTGGACTTCTGGACTCGGGGGGCGGGTCTTCCCAATGTTACCGTGACTATGGCGTGGTCCGAGAAGGCTACAGGCCAAACTTCGAGCACCGGCGACGCTGTTCTGAGGTCCCCAGAAAGATACACGCGATGTAAGTTGGCATGGCAGTCTCCCTGCCAATGGGTGTATGCCGGATCTTCTGTTGATGCATATTCCTTAGCGTCTACAAGATCGAGATCTCGCAGTATCTTCCTTAGTTCAACCCTACTGGCGTCGGAACGTAAGCGCTTAGAACACTCACGCTCAGGCAGCACACAGTTGAAGTCACCCGCTAGCACCGTCTTGCACGGTGTGTCTGCGTGTTGCCGCAGGTTCTTGAAAAAGTCTGTTCGATCACCCGCCTCATTGGGAGCATAGACCGACACTAATTTATGTCTTTCCCCGTGATGCAACACTTCCACGCTGCAAACTCGTCCATTCTTGTCGGTCTCCCGCTCAGGGCAGACTGTGATTCTCTTTTTCTTGCGAATCATGATCGCCGTGCCCCCACTCTGTCCGCTTGCCTTCGACAGAAACAAAGTAAAGTGCCGTTCTACAAAGCGACTCATTCCATGCACCTGGCTGTCTGTAGAAATCTTGCTTTCTTCCAAGAACCCGACGTCTACCTTCCTCTGCAAAAGTGTGTTTAGCATCTACTGCTTTGTGATTGGGGCCACCAGGCTGACACAGTTAAAGGTAACAAACTTGAGCGGTTTCATTGCGTACTATGGGAATGGGGGGGGGGGGGGGTCTGGCTCAAGAGAAACGGACGTTGAGATTGCACTGAAATGAGTAACAAGGCGTACCCACCTATTGAGGAGCTGTTCGTCGATGGTCTTCCTGCGGCATGCGTAGGTTCGGATTGAATCGCTCCTTCTTCACCATCTGCGTTCGCCACTTGAACTCGGAGCACGCTGTGAGGTTGCCCTCCCCAGCGTGCCCGCCCTGCCGCTGCTTCAACTCCGTGCCGGCTTCGTGCATGTCGGAATCGTAGTGATTGACGTGTCTTACGTTAGCGCCCTCCTTGTCGACTGTTTCTGTGACTTGGCTACCTGCACCGCTTGGCTGCTCTGGGTCTTGGTCTTGGGGGACAACCGCGACGTCATACCCTTCGCTAGACCCTTGTGAACTGGCTGGTTCCTCCGTGTCTTTTCCGTACTGTTCCCCCGGGGTGTTGACACCGTCTGCTGCGGCAACAGCGGCCTTGTCCTTACGCACAGGAGCGGGTACCTCCGGCTCCGTTTCCCGTGCGGCATCCTCTGCTTCCTCCTCCTCCATCTCAAGGGTTGTACCGTCTCCGGTCCCTGCTGCCTTTTGCGTCACGGCTGCGTAGCTCCTAGCGCAGTTCTCACGTTCGTGCCCGATGCGATGACATCCGTCGCACCTTGGGACACGACACTCCCGTCGAATATGTCCTCTTCCCTTCCACCGGAGGCACAGTGGCGCGCGCCCCGGCGCAACGACGAGGACATTGCCGCCAGCAATCTTCAGCTGGTGTGGGAGGCGCTCTTGGGTGACGCCCTCCTTCAGGCTTATCCGCACAAGCCTCGTTGTCGACTGGACACCGGTGACGCTTTTTGCCCTCCACTTTTTCCGTGCAATTTCTTGAACCCTGCCGAAAGGCTCGAGGGCGATCTACACAGATTCGTCGAACACGTGGAATTGGATCCAGTGAAGCTTCATACGGACGTCCGCGTTGTCTGGGTCTACGACGAGGCAGCGGTTGTCCTTGATGCAGAGCTCCTTAGCGTCGACCAGGCGCTGCTTGGCGTCCGCCGTCTTCAGCGTGATGATCCACAGATGATTCATCTGGTATGCTCTGAAGGCTTCAATGTCCCCCATCACACCCAGACGTTGTATTTCAGCCTTGAAATCGCCTATCTTGTATGGCCTCCCAGTGATGTCGCAATGCAGCAACACAGAATTCCGTACGATAATTCCTGACGGCAACGTAGACAGCACAATGCGAGTGTCGCTATCAGTCGTTGAAACCGAGGAACCGCGGCCAGCCAGGGCCGTTGATAACGCCCCTGGGGAGCTCATGATTCCGCGTCCTTCTCGTGCGAGCACCGGAAGTGGAATGTCGGAGCCACCGACGTGGTCAAGAGGTGAGTATAATGACAAAAATCTAACAGCCGCTGAGATGACGCTCATGCGCCTTATAGTTTTGTCATAGTTCAGCTCGAGTCACTGTATCAAGAGTCGACAGAACTGCTAAATTATGCCGTTGTGAGGTCACGATGTATGTGGGCGCCATGTCACGATATAGTTTTGGCGGGCATTTATGGGCCGGAACAGTGGTCGCTTTTTCATGTTTCAGGTTTGAAAATGATTTGGAGGCGCTTGAATATTCTGCAGAATTATTAAAATGGCACCTTACAGGGCCCATCGTTTTGCTTAGTTATGAGAAGTATTTGTTTTATGCGAAAATCACCCAATTTCTCCATTTTCTCTTGTGTGGCAACAATGGCAGTGGCCATCCGTCACAAAACTTCTAGGCTTTGAAGCAGCGAAGTGATGACAGCAGTGGACCTTTGTCTGTACTCTTTGCTCTTCCTTTAGGCAGTGTGATTCTTTGTGGCGGTTACGACATTATGCTCGAAATGTCTGAGAGATTGAAAGGGTGTGAATGCGATAGCGTGGCGCAGGCACAGGATATATCACTCGGTGCAACATGGCGCATTTGACGAAGGAGTGGAAGCACTGCACTAGTCTTTTACGCCTGTTACTTAAATAACACATGCAAAGAAAAAATTTTTTTAAAGAGCCTGGTTGGGGAAAGAAAATTATAGAACGAAGTTACAACGAAAAAGAAAAATGTTTAGAGCTATATTTACGGTAAACAAAAAGAGGCGCAAGAGGAGACATCCTTTTGACTCGCAACAACAAATACTTAATGAGAGGCTGGTGGCGAAGGGACCCGAGGAGGAACAGGGAAAAAGGAGGAGGAGGAGGTGGGCGGTTGTGATAACACACCACGTCCACCTCCTCCTCCTCCTTCTTCCCTGTTCCTCCTCGGGTCCTTTCACCTCCAGCCTCTCATTAAATATTTGTTGTTGCGAGTCAAAATATGTCTATGTCTCCTCTTGTCCCTCTTTTTGTTTATTCTTTTTGATAATTTAATCATCACCACCGCGCTCACCATAACTTTAGTTATATTTACGGCGCGATACCAATTTGTAGTTGGCGCCCGCGGGCGCCGCGGAAAAGTGGCCTGTATTGGTTAAGTGACTAGCCGCTATTTGTCTCCTGATGCTTGCGCTCTTTCGAAAGATTTATATGGTCTCTAAAAGTTACTTATTCACCTTTGTTTGAAATATAACAAAAAATGAAGATTACATAAGTAACTTTTAGAGCCCAAGGAAACTCCTGAAAAAACGCAAGCAGACGCGATAGACCTGTGCATCGGTCAGATGACGGCGGCGGCGCTCCGGAGCAGATGAACTTGCGCGGCGGCGGCGGCGTCGAGAAACACGTTGAACTGGTGGCACACCACACTCGGCGTGGGGTGCTGCGCCACGGCGCACAGTTCAACCACGTGACCCACGGCGGCTCCCGTAGGCACCAACTACAAATTCGTTTTGCGCCGTAAATATGCGTCTAAATTTATTTTTCTTCGTTGTAAATTCGTTTTATAACATTCTTTTTCCATCTAGGCTGTTTAAGCTCCGACCCATTTGTTCTGCCCACGCCTCGGTGTTTAACGCCTGTCGACATGTTCACAGGCCTTGTGGGCATGTTCACGTCTTATTGTAACAATACTAATGATAAAAAAAGTGTTAGAGCCGGATCTCTCCTGAAAGCAGTCGTCGGAGAATGCGAGCTTGACCCGCTTCGGCTTTCGTGTGGAGCTGGCCAGGGTTCTCCCCACAGTGGGCGGCAGTGGCTTTGCTGCCCACCACTCCGACTGACAGCCCATTGCTCTGACTGACTGCCCACCGCTCGATTATACCACAGGATGACGATGAGAGTATGCCTGCCCACATGACTGCAGACCGTCATACTCAGCAGGTCTGAACACCGCCACTTTATCGCATGCTATCGCATCGCCTGCTGCCGCCACTCTTTCAAACAAGGAGAGTGGAGCCCAAGCGTCGCTGGCAGTGCGTCGAGGGCAAGGGGGGGGGGGGGGGTGCTTGGCCAAGGAGAAACACAAAATAAACAGACGCGACGAACGCGCAGCAGTTCTCTTCGCAAACGGTGAGTGGCAGAGATCAGAAAGCCGAGAAGAATTCTCTTTGAATGCTTGCTTGCACCGTGGCTTCCTTTATCTTCGCCTCTTCGCTTGCTCCCCACCTTTCCTTCGACACTTTTCTTTTTTTTTACGGCAAATTGGCCTTTGTTTTATTATTGTGGCGTGGCATCACTCAGAGGGCCGCAAAGTTGAGCGCCTACGCAAAGTGCGTTCTGTCACCAAGCCAGATATTTCTGCATTGCAAACTACTTCCAAGTCCTGATCAACTCTGAATTCTGATCGACACCAAGAATAGACACTGAAAAACACTTCATCTCGGAGAAAATAAAAACACTGAAATAACATCCCAAACATGGTAAAAACATGGTACCATAATTATTACTTCTTTTAGTATCAATCAAGCCCTCATGCTTTAATAATTTTAGAATGAAACTAGGCAATTTTCTACTTGGTATACCTTAACCTATGGTGTCTTTCAGAGTCGTTTGCGGTGCCAAATACAGACACTGCAAGATTCAAAATATCCAGCCCTGAATATTTTATATAAAGAGCTACATGGCATTAAGATGCAATGTTACTAACAAGGAAACAGCTTGGACAACACCATTTCTTGTTAGAAGGCCAACGAGTGCAGTCATTCACTGCACTGCACTAGTTGCAATCCTTTTAGTAAAATTTGAAGTGGTGGAGGACTGCTTAAAATCATATAGTAACTTAAAGAACAGGGCTCATTTACTTGAAGCACAGTAAACTTTCACTGCTGTTAAGCTCTAACCGTGGTCCCTAGTGCGTGCCAGGCCCAGGTCACACTAAGAACAGATATGGTATGCGAATGCTAAAACATTATCCGAAAATTACTTCATCTATTTGGATAAATTATCCTTAAAAGATATTCAAACTTCTTTTTACAGTCGATCACGAGTATTAGAATTCCTTTTACTTGCCTAGCATTTGAATCGAGCTATGCTATTATGCTTGCAACTCTTGTTGTATGCATTATAGGAATATCTTAAACAATTCCTGTAATTGCACTGTTTCAGCTTTTTTCTTTCTGTGCTACTGCATTTCTTGCTTGTAAGTGGTCAAGGAAATGTCAAGCTGCATGCTGCAACCTTTTTGCTTGACTGCCCCATTAACCAGTTATGGAAATAAAGTCATTACTATTATTATTATTTAGGGGTCATCCAGACTAGAAATTATGTAACTGTTTGGCCTCTTTCATCACTCTCCAGTTATCATTTAAAGGGCCCCTGAAAAGAAAAAAAAATCTTTTTAAACAGTCTGGTTGGGAAATGTAGCAAAGAAATAATTTTACGCAAAAGAAAAGTTTTTTTAGAGCAATATTGATGATGCGAGATGCGATTCAGTCGGTAGTGACCTCCTTTCCACGAGCTTTCTCTCGCAGCATTTCGGGTGCATGGATGGGGGGTGCATTGGCTTTGCCTTCATGTTGAGGTGGAAAAAGTGAATTACCATCTTGTTGGGCAAATGACCATTCTGTGACGTCATGGACTTTGCGTGCAGTGTCCCATAAATCTCTCGCAGTCAATATTGGTTTAAAAAAGAATTCTTTTCACGTAAAATTTATTTCTAGACAAGCGTGTCCCAACCACTGTTCAAACAAAAAACATTTCTTTTTTTCTTTTCATGGGCTCTTTAAAGGGACACTACAACGAAATTTCGGCGCTTATTTTTTTTCCTATTTGTGTTCAAGGGAGCATTATCACATCAGGCACACCAACGTCTTGTTACAAAAGACACGAAAATGAATTTTAAAATGAACTAAACGATTAGCAAAATGCACCTGGTGGATGTCGCCAACGCCTCGTATGTAATGCCAGTCAAGGAAACTTGACAGTTAGTAATGGTAACTGTCTCCCCTCCGGCCACGACGATAGAAAAGCTGAAGGACTCTCTTTTGTGTGTGCCAGAAGTTGCTTTAGTCCCTCTACAAGATTATAGAAGATTATCTCCTCACGCAAAATTCGTACAAAGACAGGTTTGGGGTTACTTGCGGTGGCCCGATCGCTGGTGTGCTTCGGCTGCTTTCAGCGAATGCTACAACCCATCGGGGCTTATCCAAGGCAGTGTGAATGTCACGTGACCTTGGAGAGAGGGCACAACAACGAAGGGAAAGCTTATCACGGGCTGCGCCCACAGAGCGGGACTGGCCGAGATAGCTCGCAGCGTCCACTGCATTCGGCATTCGAACGTAAGTTCCCGAGACAAACTATGTCACGATTGCGGCGTTTGTGACATACTCTCCGCTGGTTGCTCTTCAAGCGCTTGCCGGTGTGGGCGTTTGTAACGAATACAGCCATCAGGCTCAAAATACAAACGTGTGATTGCCATTTAGAGATATTGTGGATAATATTCAGCCTATGTGTGAACACGACGTGTATATTTCAAG